CTTGAAGTGAAATTTGAGTTACTTATTTTTTAAAAAAAAGGAGTTAGCCTTCTTCATCAGTGCGTGGCATGTGATTCTGATGTAATTCAACTTTAACAAAAGAAACACTGTATACAAGAGTATCATTGTGACACGTTAGATCGAATTCTAACTAGAGGGATACACACACAAACATTTCTTAGTGTGTGGCATCTGATCCCCCCCCCCTCTCTTAAATCGGAAGGTACACATGGCTTTGTTGAATCTATAATACAGAACAGGATGAAGTAGCGTTTAAAACATAATCTATTCTACCTAACTATGTTGTTTTTTAATTCACTGTACTATAAACTTGTGTAGAGTACTAATTATGTGAATACTGCAAATAACAGCCCCTGTGAAATTGTTTCTTCCGCTAAACTACGGTGTAATGCAGGTACGAAACCTCTATGGATTTTGTTTAAAACTAGCGATCAAATAATGATAATAATACTCCGTGGCCCATGTAGCTACGTCATCTTGTTTATTAAATATTATTTATAAGATATTGGTTTTCTTGAACTTCCATGTAGAATTCTAGAACCATGTTATTGTAAGTTCTGGATTTGCAGGCTCCTTTAACTTACACGTAGAATTCTAGAACCATGTTATTGTAAGTTCTGGATTTGCAGGCTCCTTTAACTTACACGTGGAATTCTAGGATCATGTTATTGTAAGTTCTGGATGGCAGGCTCCTTTAACTTCCACGTGGAATTCTAGAACCATGTTATTGTAAGTTCTAGATGGCAGGCTCCTTTAACTTACACGTTGATTTCTAGAACCATGTTATTGTAAGTTCTGGATGGCAGGCTCCTTTAACTTACACGTGGAATTCTAGAACCATGTTATTGTAAGTTCTGGATGGCAGGCTCCTTTAACTTACACGTGGAATTATAGAACCATGTTATTGTCAGTTCTAGATGGCAGGCTCCTTTAACTTACACGTGGAATTCTAGGACCCTGTTATTGTAAGTTCTGGGTGGCAGGCTCTTTTAACTTACACGTGGAATTCTAGAACCATGTTATTGTAAGTTCTAGGTGGCAGGCTCCTTTAACTTACACGTGAAATTCTAGAACCATGTTATTGTAAGTTCTGGATGGCAGGCTCCTTTAACTTACACGTAGAATTCTAGGATCATGTTATTGTAAGTTCTGGATGGCAGGCTTCACGAGATGATGGTGGGTAGTGTTGAACAGCTTCCTTCCATCTAGTCTATCACTTCAAAATTAGAGACGGCTGGAGCAGATAGCTCTCGACAAAAACAAACAGTAAAGTTACTTCAATAAAAAACGGATTTACACCGCGTGCATACCGTGGATCCAGTTTTTATTGGAGCTATATTTCGACCCACTTCAGAAATCGTCATAAGGTTTAATATTTTTAAATTTCTTTCTAAATCTTGTTCATAGATAGAACACGTTTATACCTTCTTCAGGAAAGCTATAAAAAAAACGAAATAAAAACTAAACAGTGTCTGGTAAGGCACTTTTCAATCATTCAAACTACCTGGCTACCCCACTCTGTAAAGTTAGGTTTGAATCAAATAGTGTGCTCTGCCACACTCATTTACAAACTACTCAGAATCTAACGCTTGATGCGGGACCGTTTTAGACGCCTATTGATTAAAAACTTGATGAGTTTCACCTTGGAAACTTTATTGTCCGATAAATCTAGGTGACATTTCACTGAGCCAATAACGATCTCTTGCTCCGAGTGTTTCTTATCGATCTGTTAGGCCACAACCGATTTAGTAAAGATAAACTCTTCAAGCCAAGGTTTGAGAACTTTTGTAAATACAACTAGAAACACGTGTAGAATAGAATAGATCCAACACGTTGCACCAACACCATGTGAGAAACCTACATCGTGTGACGTATACGGGTATTTAAAATAAAATACTACTATCGAAAGTTTGTAATTACAATTATTATTTACTTAAACCCATATTTTAAAAGACCCGTAACAACTTATAATAAAATACAATTTAAATACATAATGTCATAAAGACCTAGTTCACTAAATGTTTAACTCCAGCGTTGATTTGAATCATTTTTGGCCTAAAGGGATTGTGTGTGTGTGTGTTTACTAATAACTGAGATTTGTTTAGTCTAGTATTAGTGTGATAATGTCAAACTTTACAAACATCTGGTGCATTAGACTTGAACTAGCTGATTTTAATTCAGAGTTATAGTCTTTAGAAACTTTCTGGTTGTTACAGAAAGGAACAAGTATTCATAAATGTTAATTATTCTAAACTTTCATTTCAAAATGTATTTTAAACAGAAATAAAATCGTTGTATAAACTAATTAACTTTGTTATTTTTATTTTCAGGTAGTGGTCGTTATACAAGTGCCTTTTTCTTTTTGCCGTTGATATGGTTTGGCGCACACGTGTAACTTAGATAATAACTTATATAAACAACCAACTATAGCAGGTCTTTAATTACACCCAGTTCCGAAAGCGTTTCTCTGCCGATTTTTTCAAAAAGATTAGATTTTTTTTTTTCGTAAACCTAAACCTGCATCTAATTGTCCCGTTGATGGGTTTTAACATTGTATACTTCTCAAGGCACTGAAACGTGTAAGATAAGGATCTTTACAAGACAAATAGATATACGCGAAATTGATTTTC